AAGTGGTTACGCTCTGTTTGCTGATTGGCGAGCACAGGGTTGCTTCTTACGAAATGCATTTTTCCATTTCATACAATTTCGCTTACAATGGCAACACTGAAGTAAAAATGCATCGAAATTTAAGTATTTCTTACTTTAGTATTTAATTTTTATAATTNCAGGCCGTGGTTATGCCACCAATTTGAATTGGCAATCAAGAGAGAAAAATTGCGCTGACTGGTGAGAAGTGGTTACGCTCTGTTTGCTGATTGGCGAGCACAGGGTTGCTTCTTACGAAATGCATTTTTCCATTTCATACAATTTCGCTTACAATGGCAACACTGAAGTAAAAATGCATCGAAATTTAAGTATTTCTTACTTTAGTATTTAATTTTTATAATTATATTTTTTTTAATATCTACTTTATAATAATAATAATAAAATATTTTTTACTATTCTAATATTTAATACTAATACTTCTTCGCAAAATAGCGTATTGGCACCCTGAAAAATTGGTGTGCTGGCTGTTCGGTTCACCCAGCAAATCGTGCTGGCTGTTCGATTTCGAAAACTCTCTCACTCCGTGCTGTGCTTAACAAAAATTGCACGGTGATTGCCAATCGAAATTGGTGGCGTAACCACGGCCTCATAACCACTTAGGACCGGTTGTTCAATGTCTGGTTATCACTACTTGCCGGTTAAACATCATTATCGACGTTTTTGACACCATGCTTCTAACATGTGATCGATAAAGCAGTCGTTGTATTTAACCGGAGCTTCTACCTCTGATTTGTGCAAATCAGACATTGAACAACCGGCCCTTAGTAGGGGTCTTCATCAAAAGTGATAAACTCTTGATAATGCGGCGTTTTTGCTGCATTTAAAATGCAACATTTAGCACATTTGAACATATTTTTTCGAAGAGCGTTCATGGTATCGCATTTAGCAAATGTACATTTACGCGAGTTCGAAATCGTATGCTTTTGACAAACAGCCGTGTTCCAGTCGCTTATTCAGATCCGTATCTATTACGATCAATTCTCACGCAGAAGATAATGTACAAAAAACCATACTGAAAAGGAAAAAACAAATTTTAAAACAAAAATTCAATACAAAAACTTGAATTCTTTTAACCATAGCCGAACATTTGTTTGTGTATATATTCATTTGTCGGTGCTGTCAATTAAAATTTCCTCACTTAATTAGGAAACAAAACAAACAGAGTTGATCACAAATTGATCCAGATTTCTATCAGCATCACATCGATGTTGAATTTGCGTAACTTTTCTTTATCCAAATAATGTAAAATAATAAATGAAATCTCGATCGGCGATCACTGAAACGCAGCTAGCCACTGTATACGCGAAAAAGCATTGTTGCCACTTTTTCTCATTAAAGGCCTGTATGCAGCTCTCAAGAAAAGCAAAAACTCCATATAAAATGACGTACAAGAAATGGCTAAGAAATTTTCTTGAATCAAATTTCCTTAAGGCAGTACGCAGTTCTTAAGAAATTTACTACGCTTTCTACTACGGGTTTCTAAAGTTTTTTGTGAAAAAAGAGCACAAGGCAACCCAGGTTTGCAACAGAAATATATGAACGTTTCATTATTTCTTGAGGAAAGAGTGAGGCAACAGGCTGTGTAGTATCTAAAATGTCAAAATTCCTTGGACACACACACGAAATAAGGCTTGTATGCNTTTTTTGTGAAAAAAGAGCACAAGGCAACCCAGGTTTGCAACAGAAATATATGCCCGTTCCATTATTTCTTGAGGAAAGAGTGAGGCAACAGGCTGTGAGGTATCAAAAATGTCAAAATTCGTTGGACACACACGCGAAATAATGGCAATTTTTTCTTGACCGTTTTCTTGAGAGCTGCATACAGGGCTTAAACCATGTTCGAATCTTGGAAATTTTGGAAGATCACAGGGTTGCTTTTAGCATTTAGATTCTTAATGCAAAAATTGAGTTTAATAAAATTCCGATCGTCGACCTGTAGGTGAGATCTCATAGCAGGTATAGACGTGGTGTTATTCACGGCAGTGAAATCTCTTTACGATATTTCAATTCGAAAATACATCTCTTCATAATGAGGAAAATTTGTTATGGCAATGCTGTACTTAAAATGTAGAAGTTTGGCAATTGTTTGTCAACCGCCTTTCCGCCTTTTGACAGCTACTGAGGTAGGCTGCTGTTTTATTTTCTGGATAAAATCTTGAAATATACTGAGCATCAGTAAACCATAATGAATTGTCTAGTTTTTAATATATTTAGATCAATTGCAATTATACCGTCTGTCCAAAATTTAAGAAAAGTGTTTTTTACGTTTCTGTTTGTGTTTCAGCAATCATGGCAGTCCGCTACGAACTTTGCGTTGGTCTCAATAAGGGACATAAAACTACCAAGGTGAAGAATGTGAAATATACTGGAGACAAGAAGGTTAAAGGCCTTCGAGGGTCACGTCTAAAGAATGTATGTATAAAAGTGTATTGATTGTATATATATCTAAATGATTTACGTCTACAGATTCAAACCCGTCACACAAAATTCATGAGGGATTTGGTACGTGAAGTTGTGGGACATGCTCCTTATGAGAAGAGAACCATGGAATTGTTGAAGGTTTCAAAAGATAAGCGTGCTTTGAAATTTTTGAAACGTCGATTGGGTACTCACATACGTGCCAAAAGGAAGCGTGAGGAGCTGTCCAACATACTTACTCAAATGAGAAAGGCTCAAACCCATGCAAAGTAATTGATCATATGAATTGTTTTTTAAAAGAAATAAATTAAGGACAGAAGTTCTTTCGAGTAATTTGGATTGTTATGAAAGCGGATTGTAGTCCCGGCGAAAGTACGTTTTGTTTAATGGTAAATATGCAGAAAAAAACGAGGAAAAAGTAAATTCGAAATGAATGGAGTTTCAGTGCTTATCGTCGTTTAAAGTACAAAGCCGCGTATCGTCATTCTGAAAAACGGCGTAACTGACATTTGCTGCCAAATATTTGATTTGCTCACACAAGCTCTTGGCTCAATCCTTATCCATTCGTCCTGAAATATACTAGCCAGAAATGCGATTGCTTTATAAAAAAGAGAACCATTTTGAGATATGAGTGTTTACTCTAGTAAATAATTTATGCAACCTCACATACGTGGTTTCGCATTAGCAGTTTCTTGATACGCGGTTTTGCATTTTATTGATGCACGATTTTGTACTTTAAACGACGTTATGTATGTGTATATAAATGGTTTGCACCAGTTAAAAAGAATAAAGCAATTGAGAAAATAAATGGCTACAGCTGCATGTACGACCTTAACAGTCGAATAACCATTTTGAAGTAAAGTTTGAGGTCCAAGTTTCGATGAAGCGCGCTTTTCTCTTCAGGTTTTAAATCGGTTAAAAACACTGACAGCTTTATGGGTTTCATTTCCCCTCGACCCGGTTCACTTTTCGTTTTCGAGTATTCACTACGTGAGGAGGGAAAAATTTCGGCAAAATTGTGTTCGGGTCATATATGTAATACTTCTACCCAACAAGCAAATTAAAGGCATACCTTAAGAATACGGACCGTTGAGCTAGAGAAAAAGAAAAAGTGAATGGTGTCCATCCCTGTTTGTTGAGTCGGTGTATTCGAGCTGCAATAAATGCTGTGTTTGGGCGACTGCCTACATCAAGCGGTCGCGGAACAAAATTTTGACCATCAGTTACTCATCATTGGCAAATCAAAAGCAACATGAAAATTTTTAAAGCGCAATTTCTGCAGCGTTTCAGAAAATTTTCAGTTGAGCATCAGCAACATGNGTCCATCCCTGTTTGTTGAGTCGGTGTATTCGAGCTGCAATAAATGCTGTATTTGGGCGACTGCCTACATCAAGCGGTCGCGGAACAAAATTTTGACCATCAGTTACTCATCATTGGCAAATCAAAACCAACATGAAAATTTTTAAAGCGCAATTTCTGCAGCGTTTCAGAAAATTTTCAGTTGAGCATCAGCAACATGTCATCAGGAAAGCAAAAAGCTTAATTAATTAAAGGCGGTAACTATTATGTAGCTCGAAAGCACGCTCTAATGATACAACTTTTTTTGGTGCAAATTGAGAGGGGCGGCGCTTGAGGGGCTAAACGTGGAATTTTCAACATTTTCAAAAGTTTATCAGGCCGATTCTGAACAGAAACTCCCTGGGAGTATTCTCTCTTTTCCCTTTCCTCCTATCATGAATAAAAATTCTCTGAGGACTTTTTATATTAAATGGCGGAGTTGAGATCTCAAAAAAGTGTCTTCGAAGTTCGAATGTCCCCTCCCAAGTTTTTGGGGAAAGTCCTATTCCCTGGTAGTAAATTATTGGAANTATGCAACCTCACATACGTGGTTTCGCATTAGCAGTTTCTTGATACGCGGTTTTGCATTTTATTGATGCACGATTTTGTACTTTAAACGACGTTATGTATGTGTATATAAATGGTTTGCACCAGTTAAAAAGAATAAAGCAATTGAGAAAATAAATGGCTACAGCTGCATGTACGACCTTAACAGTCGAATAACCATTTTGAAGTAAAGTTTGAGGTCCAAGTTTCGATGAAGCGCGCTTTTCTCTTCAGGTTTTAAATCGGTTAAAAACACTGACAGCTTTATGGGTTTCATTTCCCCTCGACCCGGTTCACTTTTCGTTTTCGAGTATTCACTACGTGAGGAGGGAAAAATTTCGGCAAAATTGTGTTCGGGTCATATATGTAATACTTCTACCCAACAAGCAAATTAAAGGCATACCTTAAGAATACGGACCGTTGAGCTAGAGAAAAAGAAAAAGTGAATGGTGTCCATCCCTGTTTGTTGAGTCGGTGTATTCGAGCTGCAATAAATGCTGTATTTGGGCGACTGCCTACATCAAGCGGTCGCGGAACAAAATTTTGACCATCAGTTACTCATCATTGGCAAATCAAAACCAACATGAAAATTTTTAAAGCGCAATTTCTGCAGCGTTTCAGAAAATTTTCAGTTGAGCATCAGCAACATGTCATCAGGAAAGCAAAAAGCTTAATTAATTAAAGGCGGTAACTATTATGTAGCTCGAAAGCACGCTCTAATGATACAACTTTTTTTGGTGCAAATTGAGAGGGGCGGCGCTTGAGGGGCTAAACGTGGAATTTTCAACATTTTCAAAAGTTTATCAGGCCGATTCTGAACAGAAACTCCCTGGGAGTATTCTCTCTTTTCCCTTTCCTCCTATCATGAATAAAAATTCTCTGAGGACTTTTTATATTAAATGGCGGAGTTGAGATCTCAAAAAAGTGTCTTCGAAGTTCGAATGTCCCCTCCCAAGTTTTTGGGGAAAGTCCTATTCCCTGGTAGTAAATTATTGGAAGATTTCTTTTTCGGGAGAAACAAATTCCCGGAGAACAAACTCCCCGGGAGTATTAAGCACTGTATATTTCGAAAACTATTGAACCGATTTATGAACACAGTTGGAAAGCTGATTGACGGACCTACATACACCGCCTCTTTTCGTTGATTTGAAAGTACAAAACTTTGTTGAAAAATGTGTTGATACAGTTTTATTTGAAACCATTTTCTAACCACAATAAACTAAAAAAATCCATTCTTTAACATAAAATAACAAAGCTATTTGGAAGAAACGCAAAACCAGCGATGACAAAAGTCTACCTACAGTACTAAAATAACTTACTTTAGCGCGAAAGCTTTACTTAATCCTAGATATTATTGATTTTTAGTGTTTAGTTGGTCCACCGCTAGCATCAATAACCGCTTGAAGCCGTCGTGGCACCGAGGCTACTAAATTTGTCAACTCTGCAGAGTTTTTTTTATTTATTTTATTTTATATTTTATGAAAGCTTAAATAATAATAAAATTATTAAATAAACTAAAAAGAAACGCAGCGCTAGCAGCGGAGGCTTTCGGCTGGCTGGTGAAGATTGGCTGGTTTAAATATGCCGGAGAAGATCGGAATCCTTCAAAAATTTATAGATTTTGGAAATATTAGAATCAGAAGGATTAATTAATAGTGATAACGGATCATAGTTTTCAAAATGCTGGTGTCTTTGTAGATCTAGTCGAGGGCAAACGGCTAATAAATGCATTATGCTGACTTGAGAATTACAAAAAGGGCACAGGCTTGGTTGTCTCCCTTGCAGTAGGTGTGCATTCGTTATTATACTGTGCCCAATGCGTGGGCGAGTGTAGGGAGTAGTATAGTTAGATGGGAGTGATGCTAGTAGCTGGGTTTAGTGCAATTAGGATTAATTCTCGAGTAGTGATGACTTTAATGAACCCAGTCAGATACTAGTTTGCTTTGCCTCTGCTGCTCTATCAGTCTATAAATATCACTTTTACAGATGATATTTGAAGTGAAGGTAGGAGTAATGCTCATATCTTTGGCAGTAATATCAGCGAATGTATTGCCGTTAATGAATGAATGGCCTGGCACCCACATAATTCTGATTTTATTGGAATGCGAAATCAGGATATTTCTTATGCTTCTCATAATGTGATTGGAGTTATTATAGTCTTTTAAGGCCTGAAAACAGGACATGCTGTCTCTGCATATGGTGAATTTTTCCCTGGATTTTGACGCACACTGCATGGCATAGAGAACTCCTCTTGCTTCGGCGGTGAAAATTGGGCAAAATGGAAGTAAAAGTCCGTATGATATAGGTTCACCATTTTCTTTTACGACAGCGAAGGAAGTGTAATTCGCTTTGGAACCGTCAGTGTAGATTAGCTGCCAACTAGAATTTTTGAGACGCGATGCGATTTCCAAGAAACGAGCGCTGTACTCAGCCGATGTCGTATTGGATTTTTTCAGGTAACTTAAATCGTTTACAAAGCATGCTTTTTTCAGCGCCCATGGCGGATGATGGTCACGTCTCGGCGAAGTTATTCTTAGGGGAGTCCATTGTCTTTAGCAAAGGTGGCGCATTTGCTAATTGAAGAAACTATTTTGGGTGTTCTTGTACGGAAAAATGACGAATGGAAATCTTTTTGCAGGAAAGTGTTGGTGGTGAGAGCAAGCTTAGGATAAAGTTTCCTTATGTTGTCTTCAACGTTGTCAGCTAGCGACGGTAAACCAGATTCAGCCAGGATGTTCTGTATTGGTGAAGTAGGAAAAGCGCGTATGGATCGTCGGGCCGCAGTGTGGTAGGGGGAGGCTAGCAGATTGAGGTTGTTTTTAGCATGTTGGCCATATATTTCTAACCCATAGTTGATAGGTGATAAGATGAGCGCCTTTGTAACATTGACCAGCAATTCCGATTGATAAGCGAGCATTTGCAAGACAAGTATTAAACAATATTTAACTTAATAGTTGCGATCCCGTACGAGTCCGGACTAGCCAGAAATAGTCAGAACCAGTCAGATTTTACTGGAAATCGATCCCGTACTCAGTTCTCTGACTATTGAGAGAACAAAAGAGAGAGGAAATACGGCTCTCTCTCTGTCAGAAGTTACCAGATTTAGTCCGAGAATTTTTTGCTGGTAAATTCTGGTAAATGTATCAAACGATCAGCTGTAGTGTGTTTGGCAACCAAATTATTGCAGATTCGAGAAATACCTTAGTTCTCAACTTAACCTCAAGTTGAGCTCAAACCTAAATGTTTATTGGGATATGTGTTAACCTTTAATTTCGCTCAGACATTTATTTTAACTATCTTTTCAACTTTTTTGAAAACTACTTAGGCCGAGACATGAAAACTTTAGTAGACCATGAAAAGAAAATACGAGCTAACTTTTGCAAATCCACCGAGTATTTTATTACTGGTTGGGTGAAATGTTAACAAAGTCCGGGCTGGTTTCAGCTGTCC